TCGGCATCTTGTGCTTACTTCCTTGCGTACGAATGACAGCTGCGTATGACTTAATTTATTTTCTGGTGCTATCACTTCCAGAGACAGTTGTAAGCACTGTGTAACTGCCTCGAGGATGCTTGACCATTTTAACACAACGTGGTGCGATCATCCCCCTTGCGCGGAGTGAGGTTTCTCGACCCCGCACAACATGATCTACTCGACCACCATTATGGTTGCCCCCCAACAAAAAAACAGAGGTAAAAAACCCCCGGTAACCTGGTTGCCGAGTTCACGAAGAGCAGCGTTGGGGGGGGGGGATTGGCTAAAAGAAATTCAATCCGGCACGTATCTTATCACTCGGTCCGTCTCTTCTCGTTTGCTTTCTCCCCTCGCCGTCTCGTCCGTCTCCTGCCCCCCTCCCGCCCCATGGGTTGTTGGCTTGTGGTCTCGTTTGAGCGCTCGTTGTCGGCTGGCCTCTTCTTCCTTCTCGTGCCAGGAGGTCATGAACCTCTCAGCTCCCTGCAGCACCGCCGCATGCCAGGGTACTCCCCCTTCCACCTTCGCGGCTTCCGTCCACTTTAACTTCGGTACCGTGTCTTTCGGTACCGGGATTCCGAGACAACATGGATCGGTTTTCGTAGATCCGTGGTCGGCCCCGAATGCCTTCAGGTCGTCGAGCACACACTTCGGCCAGTTCGGTTCCTGTCCCCCCCTACGTCGCTTTCCCCCCCCCCGCCAGTTCGCCGAGCATCAGTCGTTTCGGGAGTCGCCCGTCCGGCTGCTTTGCCAGTGCTCCCGCGAACAGTAGGCGTCGTTGTCGGATCGTGGCTCCAACGCTCTGGCATTCGACCCTCTTCAGCGTCTGGGCGTAAGTCGTGTGTCGTGGAATAGAATGCTACGCGGGGTGACTAGACCCTTTTGAGCTTTCTGACTTGCACTGCTGTGATACTGGAGGAACAGCAAGCGGCAGTAGCAAACAGAACAAGAATACAAATCGCAGCACCAATCAATCAAGCTTGAAACAAGAAGCAACAGGAGGAGCAGTGGTGCAAGCGTCGAACACTCACGTCTGTGCCACGAACCCCTTTTTCCCCACTGCTGTGTTGATGTATCATGGAGTCAAGCGCTGCTGTCTGTGTGTTCGCGCATACATGTATCCTGCTAAATGACACTGCTGACCCCAAGAAGTAGGTTCGCATCGTTTCTCGCACGCGTGTGTCTCTCAACTCATGTTGGCGCATGCGCAATGGTTAGTGCTGTGAAGTGAAGACAAAAAAAAAAAAAATGGTACAAACTTGATGGCCGTTGCTGGCAAGACCTTGCACGCGTCTTCTCAATTCATGTTGGGCGCATGCGCAAATACAGCCTTTTTATGACCGCTGCCCGGCAATAATCTCGCACGCGTCTTTTCAACTCATGTTGGCGCACGCTCAACACAATTGTGGTCACGGCGGGTACCCGGCAAAATAATAACTCGCGAGACCACCACCGACGGCCTCGTTGTGATGGCAGATGCTGACGGCCGTGATCGTCGGGCTTGTGCTGTTCGACTTGGTAGTGGAGGTGTACGAGCACTACCTCGACCACCACAAGGGCCGGTTCCACAAGAACCTCTTCAAGAAGGTGCGTGTGTGTTTTTGTTTGTTTTGATCAGCACCCACCCACCCACCCACCCACCAACCGCGCTTAGCTCGCTTGCCCCTATGGACAGAGATGCTAGAACTGCTCGTCTGAGAGACAGAGACAGAGAGAGAGAGACAGACAGAGGTAGGGAGAGAGGAGGGGGGGATGTGGTACCCGCGGAAAGCGCTGGGCCTAGGTTGCGTTGTGTTGGCGCTCCAGGACGAAAGAGAGTTATTTCTCCGTTTGACACAGGAGAAACATGATCCAAGCCGTTTAGCAACACGTTGTTTTTTGTTGAGAGGGCTCTTCCAACGTGGGGGGGAGGGACGCGGAGGAGATCATGTGCGTAAAGTGTGTGATTCAAAGGTTACCATCGACTTCGCTAGCAGGCTGACCAATGAAAATATCCGTACGGGGCGTGTAATTCGTGTGTTTCCGTCGCCATGCTGCAACGTTTACCAACAACCGTATTTCGTACTTCTGGTGTGCTTGTCTTCTGGCTGGTGGTTGGATATCGGAGCGGACCATCGGCAAGTAGTTTCGATCTCACCCTCCGGGCTACACTCATACAGTAGTGCACCATCGTTCTTGTTCTCTTGGCTACATGTAGGAGGGCCGTGTGCGTGGCACCGGTGTATCTTGTTTGCGCAAGTTTTGTTTTCTTGGTCCACGCGGCACACACCCGTCTGTTTCTTTGTTCTCCTCCGCTGAAAGGGCTGTGAAGTATGTAGGAGCTCGCTTTCGTGCACGGTCTCCTCGTCTTGGGAGTGTTTTTTGGCTTGATGTTGTGCTGCTGCCTCTTGGAATGTATGAAAGTACAATGCCTGGCAGCAGTACCGCCGGGCTTGCTTTCCGCACATGGCGTGCCTTGTTTTGATTTTTTTTTAATGATCTCGTTCCGTTCTTCTCTTTTTCGTGTCATTTGTTTGTTTTCCTCTTCGCTTGCGCGTACGTGGGGGGGGGGGGGATACATGATCGAGAAAGGCCATCAAGGAGCTCATGATCCTTGGGTTGATTAGCTTCGTCCTCTTCATCCTCAAGGACCAGGCTATCTACGACCAGAGCGACGATATCCTGACCAACACCTTCGACGTGAGGGCCTACGCTGTTGTCGCTGCTGTCGCTGCTTCTGCTGTTGCGGTTATTGGTGTTACTGCAGCTGCTGCTGCTGCTGCTATCCTGCTTGCTGCGTTGCCTCATTCCTCGGAGTTTTCTTTCTACGAAACCCCGAGCCAAGAGCCTATTCGTGTTATGTGTGTCTTTAGTGTTGGCATCGACCGCGTCAACCGGCTGACCATTGAAAAGGACGTCAGTCACAGCGCGAGTGTTTTTTTTGCTTTGTCGGGGTTTCAACGGACATGTGAGTGTGACGCGGAATCGCCCCGCCCCTCCCCCCCCCCCCCCCGCCCGTTTTTCTGTAACCGTTGTTTGACGCCCCCAGTTTTTTTTTTTTCCCCCCGGGAAACTCTTCTGTTTCTCCCCCCGGTTTCAAAAAAAAAACACAAGGGCGAGGAAAAAAGGCCCCCTTCCCTGCCCCTTTTTCTG